GAAAGGTGAGGCTCTACTGGAATATGACACATCCCAGCAGGGCTTCAGTTTGCCCTCTTCATCAGAATCAGCCATCTAGGTGCTTTGTGGGGTGGAAGAAGCATGAAAGCGATATTCATCTTCATGCTCCTTCCATCCTTGATAGGATGCCCATATCTCTCAAGTTCTGAGGGTTGTCATTGCAATTAGACTGCCCTCATAATTAATAAAATTAATATAAATGTTAAAACTCCTGGAGGCTGAAAGTCTAGAAATCTTTCTTTGTTCTCCCAATGCAGGAGCAAAACTGGTGGGTAGCCTGGCTTCTGTTTCTTTTTTATCTGCAGACATTTCTGGCTGAGGTTGCTTTAGCATGCTGTAGGCACTGGAAGGAGCCAGAAGCCTTCTCAGGAACATACAAGGGTCCCATCCCTAATATCACACACACACACTCCTGGCCTTATTTGTTTTACTTTTAATTTACTAAAATAATGGAATAAATGCACATCATAATTCTACTCATGTGTACTCAGAGAAGTCCTGTTTGGTAACATGGGGCACACCAGAAGCTTTAGCAGCTTTCCCTCACTGGGGGCCCTCCAAGTATGCCTGTTCGTGCCGCCTGGGCAAGGCCTAGTGTTGTGGTAGCAGAACACCCTGTTGCAATAGGCTGAAGGGGAGGATTCCTGCTTATGCTCTGCTATGACCTCTTCAGATCTCTCCCCTCACCCCAGTAGTTGGCTAAGATCCTGCAGGACTGGGATAAATCTGTGAAGAGTATCTCACCTTCTTAAAGAATAACTAATATATGGCTACACAACCATTTGTGGGCATAGTCCACATAATCAGATGCATCAGTGTCCCCCAAAACATAATCAATACGTGGATCTTTAAGGGATAGCAGACCTGTTGCTGTTCTTGCTGCAACAGACTAACATGGGCACCCTTCTAAAAATTCTTTTAAGGGCACAACCCTTGCATAATTAGGTGGGGTAAAATGTCCTATAGCTCTCAGCATTCCATAGCCAACCAGATGTGGGACTTTTTCCTGTCTAAAGATGTGTAGGATTGTGCCCCAAATCAATATAACTTGCAGTTCAAATATCCTATGCCTAAATTAGTCATGATGTGACTTAGTTCAAGACTTCATTAAGGTACGGGGGTTTTGGGGGGGAGGGGTTGGGGTGGCTCTGTTAGGCTCCCTTCTGTCTCTGCTCCAGCATTTTCATGGAGAAGTGCTTAAATATAGTTATCATTCCATTTACACCCCATCCCTTTTCCCCTTCTTGCAAGGAACCCAAGGCAAGTTATACGTGGCGAGCTCTGTGCGGCGGTCCACGGTGAGAGTCCGCCGCGGTCAGAGACCGACCGGCTTGGCTTCCGCTTTCGGGGCCCAGCTTCGCTGCCGAGCGGGAGACGCGGCGGGCGCGGGCGGGTCCCCTCGCGGGGCTCGCGTGCTGGGACAAGGCCCCCGCGCCCGGCGACCGCCGCCTGTCACTCAGCCCATTCAGGAGGGATCAAGCTGAGCGGAGGGAGAGAACAAGGCGGGTCGCTGTTCTTGTCCCCGCTTCTCCTTTGCCTTCTCCAGCTCTCGCTCGCTGGCGCTCCTTTCTGGCTGGCGCCGGAGCGACGCTTGGGAGCGAAGCCACGGAACGCAGCGCTCCGGCCTTGCGCCTCGACCCGCAGCGGACCGGTCCAGTCGTCCTCAAGACCTCGGCCCTTTCCTCCGGTAGAATGAGCCGCAGCCGATCCTGTCTCCAGCTGCACGCTTCACGCACCGGGGCCTCACCCTCCTGAAAGACGCTCACCCGAGACTTAGGGCGCAGGTGCGCCCCTGGCCGGCTGGAGAAGAGTGCGGGACGCGGGATGTTTTCCTGTGTAAACGCGCAGACGCGAGGCGGCGATTTTTGTGTGAACGGGGTGTGTGTATCGCTTATTTTTCAATAACGTGAATGGGTGTGCCTCCCCCTTCTCCATCCATCACGAAGGCGTAAGAGAACCTTGGTGTGGGAATGGAAGGATACCGACAGAGAAAACAGACACACCTGTTCCTATGCCCACTTACCTCGGAGTAAGTTCCGTTTCACACGGTTGGCCTGTGCTGTAACTGACCTCCTAGGGAAGCAAATGGGATTCTCGAGACGGGGTCGGCATTGTGGCACGAGCGTCCCCGCCTGCCCGTAACTCTTGGCCCCAAAGTAAGGTCCCCTGGTTGCCGTGGGGCTTACTGCCAAGGTGCCTGCTCTTCTGATTAAAGAGTTAGCACACAACATGTTTTATACGGAAAGGTAATGAGGCAGAAAAGTGGTTGTCAGTACAATCCTTGCTATGTTTACTCAGCAGTAAGGTCCGCTGGGTTTGATGGGTCAGCTCACACCAGGTGTGTGTACAAGGCTGCAGTCTCAGGCTGCAATTCTGCTTTTGAGAGCACCCCTAAACTCCCTGGGACTTACTTCTGAGCAGACATAGGGAGGGTTGTGATGCAAAGGTAGACGGGGGTGGGGAGGGTTTTACACGTGGCGTCGTCCAAAGACGTTCATAGGCACGACTGCGAGGGGGAATGTGGGTTGAAGTATGATTTAGTAGTATCCGTTACATTTAGACTGAAAGGATGCGGGGCCAGTGCGCCGATCTGTGCCGTTCCCGATCTGATTGCAGGGGTACCGGAGTGGCGGGCATCACTTTCCTATAGTCTGGCACTTGGAAGTGTACCTGCTTTCTCTGTTCAAGCAACGGTCGTTCCATTTCCGTGCTAAGGATTTTTTTACGCTTTTATGGGGGTTAGAGAAAAGTGGGCATGGGGTTAACGGGGGCAAACACAGGCATTTATGTCAGCATAACAGCTGGAGAAGATACGACAGGCACGACCCGCAGTTACAAAAACTTCTGCGATGGCTGCAGACACGCAACCCGCCCCCCCCCCGCCCCCGATTCCTACCGACTTTTTTGCTATCTATTTCTCCAGCTATTTCCCCAGAAGGATTGTTATGTTTCCTATGCTGGTGTGAAGGTGGCCCTTTGAGCTTTTTGCTCCTTCTTCCAAACTGCGTTAAGAATCCCTCCAGTTCAGCGCACGGTAGTTACATCCCCTCGTGACGAGGGAATACCGCTGAGTGCGGTCCGCTGTGTGCCAAACCTCCTTCGGTGTCGCTGGACCGCATTAGGGGCACCTTCTTGGTCCATAGCATTGTAAGGCCATGGCCCCCGGAACTTCTGTGGGCTTAAGGGAGCAGTCTTAAACACGGTCGCTTTAGGATATAAGCCTTAATGAGCGTAGTGGGCTCACTTCTGGGCAGAGGTGCTTAGGATTGCCTTGGAAAGGGTCTGCTTTACTTGGTATACTGCAGTACATGCAAGCCAAAGGTGGACAACTTTGCCCTGCAGTTCCCATCCCCACTCGTCATTGGCCATGCTGGCTCGCATCAAGAAGAACGTTACATGTAAGCATGTAAGATCAAGTCGTGCTGGATCAGGCCAAGGGCCCATTCTCGCCTGATTTAGTTCATTCCAAAGTAAAGATTTGGTTTATTCCCCAATTTATGGTTCTTGTGATGGGAATATTAATCCAGCTGAAATAAAATTTGCTTCCCCGGTTTGCATTGGACTATAGGCCCCATCATCCCCAAACACCAGCCAATTTTCCAACTGATTGGGGACAATAGTTGTGGTCTTTCACAAAGTGGCTCTTAATCACTCAGCCAGAGAATAGGAATTCCTGTGTTGCCAAAGTCCAGCTACATACCTTCTCCTGGTCTACCCTTTTTGGCACGCAACCCGGATTCACTGAAATAAATTATGTGACCTTTAAAAGGATGTACACCAATCAAGTAAGTAAATTCAGTCACAGCTTCCAACTGATCCAAGTCACATAACATCATATTTTGGCCAATGGCAGTAACTTCTAAATTCCATGTAAATTGTACATTTGCTAAAGCTGCAGGAACTCAGAAAAAAAGCTTTAGTCAACCTGTATAGATATTGCAGGGCATAAAGTCATGCATAACCATGAGCACATCTTATGAAAAATTATATACTTTATTTATATATTTACTTTATTTAAAGAACAACACCTTTGCTCCACAATTGTAAATACATACTAGAATAAACTCTGTAAAATATACAAAAAATACATCTCTCCTCACCCCCACCCCAATCTTTTCCTTTGTAATAAATAGAAGCAAACATGTGTGTGGCTGATTGCAGCTAATGCTCCGTGTCTGCTTAGGTTTTCACAGTCTGCTGACATTTTTTGAAAAAAAAAATCTGGCGAAAGAATGGAGGAGTTGCCCCTCCCACGAAAGGTCGAAAAATAAATAATGCATGAGCCATTCTCCCCTCCTGGTTCAGTCCCCCCACCTCATCTCACCCCGCCCCCACCTCTCCATCCCTCCCTTATAATAAAGAATTCAGCCTAAATTTCCACGCTTGCATTCAATCATGACAAAGCCTACAAATTATACAATGACTTCTAACCTGATTTACACACAAGCAAACAAAACGCCAAACTTTTCGGGTTTTTTCTTCTTTCCACCGCCCCTAATAAATCATGGGGGGACAGATGGCAAAATGGAGACGGGAGGGGCGTTCAGAAAAAGGTGTGTGCTTGTGTCTGTGCGTGCGCGCGCGCGTTTGTGGGGGGGGGGGGGCAAACAAAAGCCATCGCGCCTGGCCAATGTGGGAAAGTGCACATCCGAAAGAAGGGGAAGTTTGGTTTGACGGGTGAAATTCCCACAGCCTCCAGGCAGGCGATGGGAAGCCAGCAGATGCCGCCACGCATGGCAAATGTGGCTGTTTTGGGGGGCGAGAGGGAGGGCTGCAGACCCAAGGCATCGACAGGAGTCGGAGGAGATGAGGTGGGCGCCTCTGCCGCCTCCAAGCGCTCCAGGTCCATAAGTCGCCCGTTGCAGCCCAGTCGCCCCAGCTGGCCGGTGCTGCCCAGGTGCTCGCCAGCCTGGACCCTGCGCTGCGCGAGCACGCGTGAGCTCGCCCGCGGTCGCGCCGCGGCTCTCCAAACGCGCCTGGGCCGAGTTTGGGTTGTTACGTTACGCTGGGAACGAACGGGGTGGGAGCCCGTCGCGCGTCAGATCAAATCCCTGGACAGCGCGTAGCGAGGCTTGTCCGGCTGCCAATAGTCCATCTCCGAGGCGGAGCTGCCGGGGCTGGAGGGCGACAAAGTACAGCTGTAGGTGGACGAGGTGGCCGAGGGCGCCGGGCTGGTGGTACAGCTCCAGGAGGAGGCGGGGGACGGACTGCAGTCTGCGCTTCCCAGCACGGCCTCGGAGAAGACGGCCGCGGCCCCCGCGCCGCCGCCGCCGCAGTGATCGGCCAAGCGCAGCGTCTCGCTGAGCGCCCAGATGTAGTTGTGGGCGAAGCGCAGCGTCTCGATCTTGGTCAGCTTCGCGTCCTCCGGGAATGTGGGCAGCACCTCGCGCAGGGCGTCCAGCGCCGCGTTCAGGTTGTGCATCCGGTTCCGCTCGCGGTTGTTGGCCTTCAGACGGCGGCTCTTCTTCAACCGCTGCACCGTCTCCGCCGTCTTGGTGGCCCGAGAGCCGCTCCGCGCCCGGCCCGGCCGCCTCTTGCATTCGTGCCGTCTGAGGCCGAGGTGGCGCAGGCGCGCTTGCTCGGATGCCTCTCCGGCGGCGCCCTCGCCTCTTTGCCCCGACGGGGAGAGAGGCGGCCGGGACGCCTCTTCTTCCTCGTCGTCCTCCCCCTCGGAGCCGGAGGAGAACTGCGTGAGAGAGGACGAAGAGGAGGCGGGCGAGGAGCGGGCCCCGAGCAACAGCGCCTCCTCCTCCTTCAGCTCCAGGCTCTCCGCCTTCACGAACATACTGCAGCGAGAGGGAGACAAAAGAAAGCGCAGCCGTCACCTCGGGGGAACGGCCCCGCGTCGCCCCCGCGCTCTTGGCAAGGCCGGGCGCCCCCTCCCCGCGCGGCGCGAGAAGCCTCGTGGCGCCTCCGCTGGCGCCGGCACAGCCGGAGGGGACCGGCGCTTGCCAGTGTCACGGCGCTCCACGTGCTCGGAGCCTGACAAACGGAAACGCTCGGCAAAGTTGGCGCCGCTCCTCACAGTAACCCCTTGTTCTCCGGTCTTTCTTCTGGATGTGCCCCTCCGAACCGATACGACGGGTTTCTGCGTCGTCACAGGCATTACTGAGGGCATATTCGAGGTAATGAACACCCACCCGCTCGTCCCCAAAGCAGGCAGACGCATAGAACTAGAGCTTAGGGCTCCATCTCATAGCTGTTACAAGTCGATGGCCCGAACGCCTTCACTGCTAACAGATTCGGCTGCACCCTCTGGACAATTTCCGCCGACTTCCTTAGAGTGCTTAATCGGCCTCGGCGCTCAAAGTGTGTCGAGGGTTAACAATGGACTGCAAAAGAGCAGTCTCTCCCCGCAGCCACTCATCCTGGAAGGACAGGACGGAAAGTTCTCCTCCTGTTGCATTCCCATCTAGAGCTCCCTAGCAAACATGTCTTTCTTTCCTAGAGACATTCCGCTACCGGCCAGTGGTCACAGAGGGAGCCACTGCGGTTGCGCTCAGCCATCAGCGGGACTGCAGCTCGAGAAGAGAAGGGGGGAAATGCGCTCTCCAGTTTGCATCCAACCAAACGCTTAGGAGGGAGAGAATCGGGGACTTACTTGGCTCTCCTTTACAGGCGGTCGGATTTTTGCCTGGCCTTTTCCCCCCTTTCCTTTCCTTTGCCAGAGAGGATGCGTTGGGCTGGCTGCTTCTCCCTCTTTCCGCACCGCCCCTCGGTGCAAGCAAGTTTCAGTTTGGGCTTGGCCCCGCGCTGTCTCCCCTCCCTGCTGCTGGAGAGGGTCCCACAGTTGCTGAGCGCTGGTGTGGGTCCAGATCCCTCTGCTCAGGGGGGTGGCCGAAAGAGTTTGACGAAGGGCTGGATGCGCTGCCGTGGTGCTGCTGACCCGCGGTGTGTGTGTGCGCGCGCGTGCGTGCGTGCAAGAGACAGCTCGGCGGGGCGAGCTGCTGGCACGCGCCCGTCGGACCCTCCAGTTAAAGCGAAGCTGCTTGGGTTTCAGTGGCTGTGCGTCTGGCACACGACTCGCCTTAAAACTCCTTATATACCCCACGGAAAACAATCAGATCTCCCCGCGGGGCCTCCTCGCCTCCCCCCCCCCCCCCAGGTTTAGTCTTTCTTTCCATTTCATTATCATCACTCATCTCTTTCTTTTCTCTCTCTCTTTCTTCTTTTTTTTTGGGGGGGGGGGTTACGAAGGTTGCTTCTCCCAGCCCCCAAGCCACCCACCCCTCCTTCCTGCCTTCTTTCTCTTCTTTATCTGATCCCTCGAAAGTGTGTGGCGCATCCCCGACCGCTCTGGGGTGTGATTGGTGCCTTGCGCTCGGCTGGAGCGTGCCGCTAATTTATTAATGAATGGGGGGTCGCGAGGCGCAGCTGGCCAATCGCAGAGTCCCGCTAGCCACGCGCGCTGGAACCTGCTCCCTTTCAGCAGCTCATTAGGCCTGAGGGCGGCGGTGGCGCAGCAGCGGTGGCGGGTGAAGAGAGGGAGGAAGAAGAGGGTCCCTGCGGCCGCCTTTGCTCGGTGTCTGCAGGCCCGGAGGGGGCGGCCGGCAAGGCGCTCTCTGTCCTGCTCACCTGCAAAGCAAAGGAAGGAGCAGGAAGGGCGCAAGACGGGGAGAAAGTGAAGGCAGAGCAAAGCGAGAGGAGCCCCCCCCCCCCCCGGCTGGCGAGGGGGAATTTTAAACCTTCAGCGGGATAGAGCGCATTGAGAAGGGGGCGTATTTCTGGAAGAATGTGAGCGTTTCTTCCGCACCCCCCCGTTGCTGAGTGACAGCCGTTATTACTCCCACGAAGAACAGCCCCACTGAAATGATTTGGACTTTGTTAGACTGACGTTGGATACAGCTTCGCTGTGTCAGACAAAATTATAAAAGCACACCCTTTAGTTTCTTGCGGGGGAGGACCTCTCATGGGGAGACCTTGTGGTTACTTGACCTAAGGCACTTCTCAAACAAACTATAACTGTTTCCTAAACTCAGTGTTGAACTAAGGCTGTAACCCTTCTTGAAAGTTAACTCTATTGACATAAATAGGACTTACTTCAGAGGATATATGCTTAGGATGGGAGCAACATGTATCACGAGATACAGTATTTGTTACATATGGTAAGCTGTATATAAATCAGCTTTGGATGGTGTATAAATATAAATAATTCTATGTACCTACACACACACACATTTTGCTTTCAGAAAACTAGTATATTGGACAAAGAACCTTTACTAGAATGCACTAGGCCATGCCTTTGTTTGTTTGTTTTTTCCTGATGCTCCCACTGGCAGGAAAAAGCTGCATCTGTTGAATTGCTTCCTGCATCCAGGTAGACAAGTTTTCAAATGGAGAGGAGCTTGCATGCTTTCAGGACTCTAGCTATTAACATACTCTGCAGTATAGTTAGTTCTTTATTTTCAAACATTGGTATTTCCCATTTCAGTGTCGATAACGTTCAAGATTGCTAACATAATGAACATAATCAAATGATGTTTCATGACTCGGATGGTTCATATGATGTTTCATGACTTGGATCCAGACTACTGCTCTTCAGCTGGTGGGTAGTTCACTGTGATCTACAGTTCAGTAACACCCTGAACTTAAGTGGAACCTCTGGTGGCACCACCATCCTTTTCTTCTGCCTTATGAAGTGCAGAAGAAGACAATATATTTCCATGAACCTCTCAGGAAAGGCAGCACAGAGAAGACTTGTGTATCTTTGTGGTGGGCACCGGTACAAAACAGAACTGTGTTAATGCTGATAAAGGTATTGTTCTAATCACAGCTCACAACAAACATATAAGTCCAAACATGCACACCAAATAAAACCAAACTATAAATACAAATATCTAAACTATAGCCTTAATAAATAAGCAATGTACAAAAATGCAACCTAAAATTTTATTTGGCCAAATGAGAGTTAGTAGGGACAGTATTCTTTCTAAAAGGTAATATGGTAAAAATGGCCACTTTGTTGGTAATATGGGGGAATGTGTCCACCAGCAGAAAATTAATACGTTGCATTTCTGAACCTGAGAAATTATTCACAAGTTCACTGTTTGTTTAATGCTTCAAGCCTCAAATTGCTCCTCTGGTTAGTTCTGGGGAGACAGTTTCTTAGGTGCTCGCAATACAAGAGGTCAGTACAGCATTCCTGGAAGAGAGCTATCCATCTTTTGCTTAAATACCTCCAAGAAAGAAGAACCTGCCACTGGTAGTATATGAAACTGCTCGCTCCCTTCCTATTGGAAAATTTCTGTTTAGCTGAAATCTGATTCCCTGCAGTTTCCAGTGATGGGCCCTAGTGAAGTCAACTCCATCATCTGCAGAACAGTTCTTAGATACTTGAAGACTCCTATCATGTCTCCCTTTAATCTTCAACAGCTGGAGACATAACCATTTTCAGTTTCTATGTCACAGTAAGGATAATTGTGGGAAGACAGAGCTGCAGGACAGGCCTGTGGATGTACACTGATGCATGTGTATCTCACAGTGTTTAGGTTCCTAGCTGTAAGTTCAAACTGAAATACAAGACACTTGGAAGCTCTTTTCCCATATCCATGACCAGTGTTCATGGGGGAGGGGGGGCAACCTTGGTTATTCAAAGGGAGGGGAGTGCAGCTCTATCGTATTGTATGTTCCATGGCCAAACATTAGCATAGGCTCTGGAACTGAGCCCTGATTCATGTGACTAAATGAGTGAGGCAACAGGATAACCCAAAAGCTAAGATGGAGTCTGAGTTGCCAGTGAACTGGGAGTTGCGGTTGAAACATGAGTTATTGCATTGTCTGAACAACTAAATACGATGAGCAACCCACAGTTCATAACAACCCCCCCCCCCCCCCCCCCCCCCAAAAATCCATGGGTTCTTTTCTTGGATTTTTAATTGTCAACAAACTTTTTTTTTTTTTTTTTTAGCGTGCTGAGTTCAGACATCAACCCTGACCTACATCAAGAAAACCCCTCTGTTAAAGATGACCCAACATTTAACCCATGCTCCGTCTGTGGCAGTTATAGCTTTGTCTGCCAAGCAATGCACCTATGGAGAGGCAGCAGGTGCAGCTCTGGTCTTCCTTTGGCAAAGTAACCGTGTTCCATGTATATGCAGATATAATCGGATGCCTAACTTCGGTAATTCTTTTCTAACATAACCAAATAGTTCTTCAGTTATTGTCCATGCCCAGCACCTAAGGAGCTCCACACATATTTTGTATAATAAAAGAATGACGTTATGACTGCGAGGCCACACAGAGGTTTTCAACCCCCGTGACATACAGGGGTGTCCTCTGTCCAGCACGCAGCGATTCAATACACAGGAGGCCCGTGGAGCGCGGAGAACGGGAAAGGGGGCGCTGCCGCGCTCGCCCCGGCCTGCTCTCACCGGGAGCTGCAGGCTGCGCCAGCCCAGCCGCCTCTTTCCGGAGGCGGAGCTCGCCGCCGCCGCCGCTGCTGCTGCCGCTGAGCCCCGCCTGGCTCTGGCTCCACTCCCTCTGGGCAGGGCCGGGAGCGCCGTGGGGTGGCGGGGGCCGGACCGTGACAAGGCTGCGTCATTGCTAAGGGAACGGGGGGCAGCCCAGAACAAAAACGGAAAAGCTGTGTGCGGACGCCCTCTGCGCCCTTTGCGTGGCCATCCGGGTGAAGAATTTCTCCTACTGGACGGGGGCGGGGCGGGGGGAGGGTGGAAAAGGGAAGAAAGTCCTGGGACTCGGAGGAAGAACTTCGTTATGAACAAATAAGAAAATAAGTTTAAAAATTGGCCAAAGAAAACCCCTAAATCCACATGTTGTAAGGTACTT